TAATGAAATAATTATACAACTCACTGTAGGTTCAGGGTCCCTGGCTTAGATGACTTGAAAGAAGGCTATTGTGGCTAGAGCAGAGAGAGGGAGAGAGTGAAGTGTGATTTGAGTTAATTCAGCAAATAGTATTGACAGTCCAGTATTTGATAGTCATGGATAAGATAAAGCTAGAAGTAGGCAGAGGCTGAATCACGCAAGGCCTTGTAGGTCATGTTTTGAATTTCAGCTTTTGTCCTAAGAATGGAAAGCTATGACAAGGTTTAAGCATCAGTTTGTGTTTTATGGCTGATGAGTGGGGAACAGAATGGAGGGGGTATAGGGAGAAGCAGCAACTGCAATAATCCCGGTGGGAGATTATGATGAAGATGAAGAGAAGCAGGCACGATCAGGGATATTTAGAAATGTAAACTGCCAGGATTTGGCAATTGAATGAGGGGATGAGAAAGGGGGAAATTCCCAGGATGAGTAGCAGGAGTAAGAGGAGAGCTTATGAGGAAACATGGAGTTTGGAATGTTTTTGAGACACCTAAGTGAAGATGTCAAGTAGCTTGGAAGAGATCTGGAAATCATCAGTAACTAAAGCTCAAAGTGGGGATGAAACCATCCTAGAAAAATTAGACTGAGAAAGAACAGGACCTAGAGAAATTTTAAGTTTAAAGACTAGGAGGAGGATGAACTTGTGTAGCAGGCAAAGAAGCTGTGTGGGTCAAAGAGGTCAAAGTTGTGGTAAAACCATGAGAACGCAAATGTGTCAATACTGAGAAACTAGAAAATAGTACCAAATGCAACTGAGAAGTAAAGCAAGCTGAGGACTAGGAAATAACCACAGGATTCAAACCATTTCAATAGAATAAGGGTTGCAGAAGTCAAAATGGTCTGGGTTTAGGAATGGCAATGGAGTGACTTGTACTTTTGTAAGAGAGGGCCAAAGTATCCACTATTTTGAGAAATTTAGCTGTAAAGTAGAAAAGATAGGATGGTAACTGGAGGGGAAATGACGTACAGAGTGGTTTATCAACAGTGGAGTCTTTGGCATGTTTAAACACTGATGAGAAGCACTCAGTATAGTGGGAGGAAGTCAGATATCCTTAGAGGGAAGGACTAGGATTCAGAACACAGGAAGAGGCATTGGGCTCAGATGAGAGGGATGCCTGTTCTGTTTAGACAGGAGGGAAAAAGAATGATGGAGATGTATGAGGGTAAATAAGTTGTGGGATGTGGACAGAATTACTAACTGATAGCTTCTACTTGTTTATAAAGTAAGAAATAGGGTTACTTGTGGAAAGTTAAGAGAATGGTAAGGAGTAATAACAAATTATTGGTTTGAAATAGTCATTACAGGGAACAGTAAAGATGACTAGAAAACTCTAGTAGGATTATAAGGGCTGAGGCTCCATTTGAAGTTGGTAGCAACAAATTCAGTGGTATAAATCTGCTCTATAGTGGTTTCCTTGGGTGGCATTTAGTTGTCCAAAGGCAGACACAGACAAATGTTTCACTTTATTTAAGGGTCCAAAAGTTATGAAAGGCAAGGAAATTCAGCTTATTGCAAGATAAGCACTAGAGTTTAAGCTGGATAGGGATCTAAAGAAGGAAGGTGCTAATGGAGAGAAGGTAAAAGCAATGCCCTAGATGCTACAGTGAAATAAAAAAATCATAGTAGAACGACTAGTTCAATAAAGAAAGTGGACGGAACATGGTCAATGAATAAGATCCAAGTGTTTTGAAGATGGAGCAGTTTAGGGGATGGCAATGACCAGGATATAACTAACGGAGTGGGTGGCTCACACAGTGGAATTCACTGGAGATTCAGTTGAAGAACTAAGAGATCAAAATACTGAATGGATTGACTATGTAAACATACAGTATCAAGGGGTGGATTGGAAGACCAAGGGCTAGGTATTTAAAGTAGCAGGAGAGTAGCAGTTAATGAGATCGGTAGGCAAGTAATGAGAGAGGGTTATATGGATGAACAGCCTCAAAGAAATGAGACTGTACAAAGGAATGGACAGTTAAGTTCTGAAGCTACAATGGCAAGAACACCAAAATGTCTCCAGTATGTATGTTTGTGATAATGTAATAAAACTTTGTCAACACTTATTCCTAGGTGTCATGCTTGGAACATCACACTGCTCTCATTATGCCAATGGCTATCATTTTATGGCAAGACCTGAGGAAGACCAGCAACTATAGAAGGTAGAGTGGAAGGGATAAGGTTTTTCTCCTAAGTACTGAACACATTTATAAACTGAAAGAACCAGGACAGAAGGGATTGAAAATTTAAGAAAGGGATTAACTGATGAGTCAGACTGAGGAACACTTGTTTTCTAATGCCTAGAGGTGAGTTGGGTAAAAATGAGCTTGCAGATTAAAGCTCTAGAAGTTCAAAGAGTACAGGCTTTAGAGTGAGACAGTTCTATGGTTTTAACCCTTCTCCAGCAATTACTAATTATGTGACATGGAAAGAGAGGAAGCACAGATAATTCACAATGGAAGTTTATTGCAAGGATACACACAAATGATGATGTGGAAAAATTCTCCCATCAGGAGTACAATATCCCAGGTCTCCATTTTCTGGTCTTCTGTGAGTTGAGAAGTTCACAAGTTGTTTTACTTGCATTTATACTTCCCAAAGGGAGAATTTTATTGGGTAGATATACAGCCACTCAGTAGGAATGGTCCTGATCATCAACCTTTGCCTTCCTAACAAACTTTTCTGTTCAAGATTTGTTCAAGAGATAGGAGCTTTCTGATCTGTAGATGGGAGAGAACATCTGCTTTGTGGATGGTTGTAAGGAATTTTTTTTTTTTATTATTGTGGAAGCCCATGTCTAGGACCTTCAATTTCTCTGTAAAAAATGAAACAAGGTCACCTGATAATGGTGGGGCATGGGATTAGGGAGAGCAGTGAAAGTATAAAATAACTGTTATGGTGAGTAGAGGAGGGAATGGACGAGGAACCCATAGAGGGCTGTGTGCTGGTAGTGTGGGCTTAGCTGAGGTTGGAGACCTTGAATATTTAGTAGGCATTCATTACACAACTGTTTTTCTCCAGCAGTTTGAATGGAAGCATAGAAAAAAACAAATGGAATGATACAAAAAAGGAGGCCAAGAATGGCAAAAAAAATAGAGTGATAGAATGATATGCCATTCAGAGTGCTGAATATAGAGGTAAATTCCACAAAGGAGGAGGAAGGAATAATGTGAAAAGAATGGTGAGGCTAGAATTAGAAATCACAGAACAGGTACAAGTAGGAACAATGTGGGGTAAAGGGTGGAAAGCTGAAATTAGATTATAACCAAGCAGTGAAACATTAAGGTAACCAAAGGCTTCATTTTATCTTTTTTATCAGAACCACCACCATCTAATTCTCCCTTGGGTTTCCTCTTCCTCAAGCTTGGCTGTTCTGTCACATTCTATAAAAAAGACATGTGCACTAGAATGTTTATAGCAGCACAATTCACAATTGCAAAGATGTGGAAACAACCCAAGTGCCCATCAATACATGAGTAGATTAATAAAATGTGGTATTATGTATACGATGGAGTTCTACTCAGCCCCCCCAAAATAATGGTAATATGGCACCTCTTGTAGTATCCTGGATAGAGCTGGAGCTAATTCTACTAGGTCAAGTATCATAAGAATGGAAAAACAAGCACCACATGTACTCACCATCAAATTGGTGTTAACTGATCAACTTAAGTGTACATATAGTAATAACACTCATCGGGTGTTGGGCAGATGGGAGTGGGGAGGAGGGTATGGGTATATACACATGTAATGGGTGCAGTGCGCACCATCTGGGGGATGGACATGCTTGAAGCTCTGACTCAGGTGAGGCAAGGGTAATATACATAACCTAAATATTGGTACCCCTGTAATATGCTAAAATAAAAATAAAAAGTTTGGCTATACTGCAGAATATGGTCCCCAAGTTTCCCCCTTCTTGACGGCTCCTGATGACAAGCACACAGACTTTCTTTGTTTAAAGTTTTATTGCTTAGCTTGGGAGATAGGAAATATTAAGAAAGTAACAACCTGGGGAAATGGCTGGAGTTCCAGAACACCGTAGAATTCTTACAGGTGTCAACTCTCTTCTGTGGCCACTAACTTCCCAAAAGGCAGTGCTCAAAAGCTCTGTGATTTTTTTTGAAATTTTGTACTTAGATATTTCCTTCTTTTCCTAGATCCAGCAGAATTATTTCACATAAGACATAGTCCACAAGAAACCAGTTATGAACCAATGCATAGTGGGCTCACAGGTGAACCATTTAAGTCAGACAGAAGACAGATCATTTTGTCTTCTGGGCAGGAACCAATTTCCTGTTGCTATTACTAGCCTTAAAATTGTACATACAGACCCTGCTTTAACCAGATGCCTGGAAATTCTGAGGTTTTCCTTCTATATGCAGAAGACAATTTCTCAGCTGCCAGGTCTGAAGCCAGCATTAAATGACCAAACAACGGATAGTGCCAATAAAGTAGGCAAAGTTTCCCTGTCCAGAATATAAACCAAACAGAGCAAAAAGCAGGTTTATTTGCTCCAGGAAAAGGAGCAACAGTACCCAGCTTTCAGGCAAACTCTCATTCTCTACGTACGGGATTCCCAAGCCTTCAGTCTGAGGGTCCTTCTAGTGCCTTCTCTCCTGGAGTTGGGAACGGCTAGCTACCTGAAGGCGGGACTCTGGGCTGTTCAGCAGTAGCACCTGGCACGGCCGCGGCAGCCTCGTAGTCCGCGATGCGGCGCTGGACCAATGCAGGCATGAGCTGCACGTAAGAGGCCATGAGGCGGTGGTTGGAATGGATCAGCTTCCCAGCACAACTGTGCAGACAGGCCTCCTGGAAGGAAGACAGGTTGGAAGTAGAAGCAAAAGACGTCCTGTCATGCCCACCTCCTTCCTTTCCCATCCCCAGCCTAGGGGTGAGAGTCTCGGAAAGATCAGGGCCAGAGGTAGGGGAAGTGGGGAAAGGAGGGAAGCTGTTTGCCATTAACTCTTTTTTTTTTTTTTTTTTTTTTGAGACAGAGTCTCACTCTTTTGCCCAAGCTAGAGTGAGTCCCGTGGCGTCAGCCTAGCTCACAGCAACCTCAAACTCCTGGGCTCAAGCGATCCTACTGCCTCAGCCTCCCGAGTAGCTGGGATTACAGGCATGCGCCACCATGCTCGGCTAATTTTTTTCTATATATTTTTAGTTGGCCGATTAATTTCTTTCTATTTTTAGTAGAGACGGGGTCTCGCTCTTGCTCAGGCTGGTCTCGAACTCCTGAGCTCAAACAATCCGCCCGCCTCGGCCTCCCAGAGTGCTAGGATTACAGGCGTGAGCCACCGCGCCCGGCCTGCCATTAACTTTTGAGGGTCGAGGGTAACTTCCCTACACAGTTCCCACCTCCTCAGAGTCCAGAGCTCGGTGGTGCAGGCTGGGCACACAGCGCTGGAAGCATAGTTCTGTCATCCGATTGTAGACCAACAGGAAGTCCCGCAACTGGGAGAAAAGGGGACCAAGAATTCAGCGATAATGGCCCCACATTTCGACTCAAGGGCCCGCCGCCCGAGGTTTCCCAGGGCCGCGCACCACAGCCCGATGTTTCCAGCCCTCGGATCCCCAGCTCTGCGGGGTCCCCGCGATGTGGACAGCGATGAGAGCTGCACGTCCGGCCGTGAAGCACCTTAGCTCTCACTCACGTTTCTCAGTTGCTGCTGCTGCTGCTGCTCCATCACGGCACCGGCGCACGCCCTGCGACACTTCCGTTACACGGGCTAGGTGCCGCCCCGGAAGTAGTCTCTCGCTGCTCCCCAAGGACTGAGGGGTTGGCTGAAGGATTGCCCTGCCTCCAGCTGCTAACGTCACCTCCGCCCTTATAATCTGCGACGTGGCCGGCTTCTTCTGCCCGGAGAGGACGTCACTTCCGCCGTGTCCCTGACCTGCTGCTAGGATCGCGACGGGAACTGGAGCCCGAGGTCCCCGCGCGGCCCGGGCCTGGCGCCCTGAGGGGAAGAGCGGCCCGGCCCGAGGTGAGAGGGACATACTTGGGTGAGGGGAAGTTGAACGCACGAACCTGTCCCGAGGGCAAGATGCCCCTGAGCCCTCGGGAAGGATGGGGACACACCTGATGTCCAGGTGTATGGGGGGGGCGGGGACTCACACACTTGGGAGACGTAACTGACTTTGAAAGAGATCACCTATATCCTGGGAAAGAGAGCCTTTTACCAGAGACTGGGAACATACACCAACTGATTCAACTAAGGCCTGATAGGGAGGGCCTGAGGAAGAGGAGGTGCATGAGATGGAGGCGGGGGAGAACACCTGAAGGAAGGGGGAAGAAACACTAAAAGAGTGTGAAAGGCCAAGCAATGGAGAACATACCTGAATGGTGTGTGAACACCTGAGCCCTTGAAAGGGGTTCGTCTCCTGGTGAGAGTAAACGCACCTGCTTGGGGATAAGTTGCAAATGAGCACAGACTTTCTCTCTCTTGTTCACCACTGTATTTCCATTGCCTCAAACAGTGCCTGACACATATTAGGTACTCATTAAATGTCTGTTGAATGAGTGAATGCATGAATGATCACTGGAGTCCTGGTGAGGTTGGGGGGTTGTGAGAAGACACCCAGGCTTTGGTGCACACGTGTACAATTGTGCACTATGGAGGAGAGAAATACCTATACCTGAGGAAAGGTGTGGTTGGCCGAACCCCAGGACACTCAAGCCCTGGGACAACCTCTAAAACCTCAGAAATGACAGAGGAGGTCTCCGTCTTCTAGAGTGCTGGCCAGTTTCCAGAACTATCTGTGTTGGGCTTTGCAGGGTGCTGAGGTGGAGACTTTGACTCCAGTGCCTTCCCTAGCCATGACGGACGGGATCCTAGGGAAGGCAGCCACAATGGAGATCCCCATCCATGGGAATGGTGAAGCTGGGCAGCTTCCTGAAGATGATGGGCTGGAGCAGGTGCTTCTGTTGGATTCTTGTAATTGTTTCAATTTAGGAATCCCAATTTATAAACCCTGGACTGTCACCCCCATTCCAGTAGTCTTCTCCTAACTTACCTAACTTCCTTCATTCTTTTTACAAATCTTCATTCTGATTCTGTGCAGCCTTCCCTTGTGTACCCTCTTTATGATGCTTCAATACAAACTTGTTCCCACCCCCAAAATTCTTCTGCTGCCCTGTGTTCCTGAAGCCCCTTCTCTTCTCTGGCCTATAGGACCTCCAGCAGGTGATGGTGTCAGGACCCAACCTCAATGAAACCAGTATTGTGTCTGGTGGCTATGGGGGCTCTGGTGATGGACTCATCCCCACAGGTATGAAGGATCAGAAAGAGGAAGCTTGAGTGGAGAGGGGGACAGGAATGGTTTTGGGGAGCACAGGATATGTCTAGGAAAGCTTGAATTATGTCTGGAGATCTTGGGAACTTTGCTCATGTGAGCCCCATGACTCTCCTTAGACCAAGACCAGCTGCTGGTCCATCTGCTTTTCTCTGCACATTTAGCCCCTGAGATGGCCCATCTGTTCTTTCCCTGCCACCACCACCTGAGACTTCCACAGGAGTTACCCTGCTCTAGAGCTTGAGGCTGCGTTGGAAATTTGCGAGACTTCTCAGAGTTTTACTTTAGACTCTAAAGTTTAGATAACAAACAGCCCTGAATCCCTGACTAAAATTCCACATGGAAATGTCAACTAGGTTTGCTGTTATCAGGACCCACCATCCTTGACTACCCCCACCCCCAAACTCAGTGTATTTTCTTCTGTTTGCTCCTTTACACCAGCAAATCTCTACTCTCCTCCCCCACAAGGAGGCCAGATGTATATTGGAATTTGGTTCTCAGGGCACAAGGTCCCAGTTCTTAGTGAGCAGGAGAATCCAATTATCTCTAGCTTCCCCTTCAAGGAAGTCATTTTCATGTGCTGGGAAGGAAGTATGGGTGGGCTCACACAGGTGTCTGGTGTATCTGAGAGGCTGGTGTCAGAGAACTTGGTCCTTTAGGGTCTGGCCGCCATCCATCTCACAGCACCACTCCTGCTGGCCCTGGAGATGAGGTGGCTCGGGGCATCGCTGGAGAGAAATTTGACATTGTCAAGAAATGGGGCATCAACACATATAAGGTAGGATTTAAGCACCTTTCCCTTCCCCAGAACTCCTTCTGAGTACCTTTTCCCCAGATCCTAATATTCTATCTATGGCTGAGACTAGGAGCCTGGGGGTGCTGGGGTAGGTACCTGTTGTTGCGGAGGGTGCTAGGGTCTCTGACCTATTCCCCCACTTCCTGATCAGTGCACAAAGCAGCTGTTATCAGAACGATTTGGCCGAGGCTCCCGGACTGTGGACCTGGAGCTAGAGCTACAGATTGAGTTGCTGCGTGAGACGAAGCGCAAGTATGAGAGTGTCCTGCAGCTGGGCCGGGCACTGACAGCCCACCTCTACAGCCTGCTGCAGACCCAGCATGCACTGGGTGATGCCTTTGCTGACCTCAGCCAGAAGTCCCCAGAGCTTCAGGTGCCTCAGCCAGACCAAAGAGGGTGGGAGTACTGGGCCCGACCCCTCCCAGGCAGTCACTCCTCAGCCTCCCTCCCTCCCTCCTGCAGCCCACAGGGAGAACCCCTCCAGGGTGGGCCCAGCCTTGTCCCCAGCAGCACTCACCTGTGGAGGCAGCCTAAGGGTTTGTACAGAGATCCAGAAGTTGGAGCGGTTGGGGGAGGGTGCACACTAGGTGCCTCACAAGCAATCCCTATCTGCATTGGGGAGAATGCCTTCAGTGCTCAGCCTAATCCCCTGCCTGCTACACTAGCTCTCCCTGTTCCAGTCTTGTGAGCTTATCTGAGAACCCCCACCCCTCACATTCCTACCCCAGGCATCCCCAGTGTGGCCCACTAACTTTCTGGCTAAGAGCCTTGCTGGAGGCAGTCCTTGGTGGTTCCAGTTTTGATGGCTCTTTCCTTTTTGGGGAGGAGGGTAGTGAGGGGCTTTACAGCTCCAGTCAGGTAGGGACTGTTACTCAAGTCCTGTTCTTCCCTTCTGCCCTCAGGAGGAGTTTGGCTACAATGCAGAGACACAAAAACTGCTGTGCAAGAATGGGGAGACGCTGCTAGGGGCTGTGAACTTCTTTGTCTCTAGCATCAACACGTTGGTCACCAAGACCATGGAAGACACACTCATGACTGTGAAACAGTATGAGGCTGCCAGGTGTGGGCACTGGCAGGGCCTAGAGTTTGGGGAGTTGGCTGGTATGGGTGGAAGTTTAGGCATTAGGGGCATAAGAATTTAGGAAGGAAAGGAAAGTATGTGTTGAGGACAAAGGGGTGGAGACCAGCCTGTATCACCCCTTCCCCAGGCTGGAATATGATGCCTACCGAACAGACTTAGAGGAGCTGAGCCTAGGCCCCCGGGATGCAGGGACACGTGGTCGACTCGAGAGCGCCCAGGCCACTTTCCAGGCCCATCGGGACAAGTATGAGAAGCTGCGGGGAGATGTGGCCATCAAGCTCAAGTTCCTGGAAGAAAATAAGGTGCCAACCCCACCCCCTTGACCTTAGCCCACCTTCCCACCTGTGACACTAATCTTCCCCTCAAGTCCTCCCCATCATTGGATAGGGAAATGCAGCCTGTCTAGGGAGTGGGATGTTCTCTCCAGCCCCCTCAACCCGAGTCTTTCCACGTCACCTTCCCTCCAATCCCTGGCCCTTTCCTGTTGGGTGATTTGGCTGGGGGTCCCAGGAACATAACTGGGATAAATCACTCCCTGAGCTGGGGTACCAGAACCCTAGGCCCAGCAAATCAAGTCAGGTTTCTTCCATCAGATTGACCTATCTCCTTTGATTCCCTGGGTAGAGTTCAGCCCCCACCCCAAAAGCACCATCTGAGCAGAGTCCACATACCCCTGGTCTGTACCTGGGCTTAGGCTCATAGACCCTCAAGAAGGGCGCCTGAGTCCAGCCTTAGCTGACCCTGCTGGACCCCCAGATCAAGGTGATGCACAAGCAGCTGCTGCTCTTCCACAATGCCGTGTCCGCCTACTTTGCTGGGAACCAGAAACAGCTGGAGCAGACCCTGCAGCAGTTCAACATCAAGCTGCGGCCTCCAGGAGCCGAGAAACCCTCCTGGCTAGAGGAGCAGTGAGCTGCTCCCAGCCCAACTTGGCTATCAAGAAGGACATTGAGAGGGGCAGCCCCAGGGTAGGGGAGATTGGACTTGGGACATCCCTTGCCACATGCCCTCTGGCTTGGGCTCCCTTTTTCTGGCTGGGACCTGACACCAGTTTTGCCCACATTGTTGTGGTGGGAAGAGGGCCTGCAGGCCCAGAAGCTGCTGCCCTGTCCTTTATCTTCCTGGCCACTGGGCTTCATTCCCAGATCTTTTCCTTCCACTCCACAGCCAAAGGCTATGACAAAACCACTCCCTGGCCAATGGCATCACTCCTCAGGCTGGGGTGTGCCCCCTGACCAATGACAGAGCCTCAAAAGGCACTGTCAGCCGATGGCAGCTCTTCTGGGGCTCCCCTGGGCCAATGATGTTGCCTCCAATACCCTTTGTCTCTCCTCTATGCGTGCCCATTGCAGAGAAGGGGACTGGGACCAAAGGGGTGGGGATAATGGGGAGCTCCATTTCTGGCTTTGCATCTAAATGGGCCTCCCCTCACCCACCCACCCAGTTTAACTGTGCTTAGAGCCCAGGAAGATTGGGATCTAACACTAGGAATAAACCTTTCATAAAAGCAGGCCCAGTGAGGTCAATTTGTGGGGGACTCTAGGAGGGTGGGGTGGGTAGAGAAATGCATA